TCGGCATCACGTTTGTAGTAATCGTGTTTCTTCTTGTAGTATGCTTCAGCATCGGCATCACGTTTGTAGTAATCGTGTTTCTTCTTGTAGTATGCTTCAGCATCGGCATCACGTTTGTAGTAATCGTGCTTCTTCTTGTAGTATGGTTCGGCGGAACGCTTGGCTAAATCTTCTTCTTCATCTTCATCTTCACTACGTTTGTAGTAATCGTGCTTCTTCTTGTAGTATGCTTCAGCATCGGCATCACGTTTGTAGTAATCGTGCTTCTTCTTGTAGTAGTATGGTTCGGCGGAACGCTTGGCTAAATCTTCTTCATCTTCATCTTCACTACGTTTGTAGTAATCGTGCTTCTTCTTGTAGTATGCATCACGTTTGTAGTAGTGGTGGTATTTCTTCTTGTAGTAGTATGGATCAGCGGAACGTTTGGCGAGATCTAATTAATTTTTTATTTTGTGAAGTAAAAAAATAAATTATTAGAATTGTTTTTTATTGATTGATTGGATTTTTTTGATTGGGTTAAGTAGTAACTTACCTTCTTCTAAATCATCTTCCTCTGGCCTATCAGCTTCAGCAAAGACCAAGGCGATGAACAAGGAAATTAAAAACAAAATATAAAGATTAAATTTCATTTTATATATTTTTTTTTTATATATTTTTTATTTTATTATTATTATTATTATTTTATTGTGAAGAATGAAGAATGAAATTGGGATTTGACGAGAATTTGAGTGTTTATATAGATGTTTTGGTTCCTAAGTATTACTAACGAACTATTATTATTTCTTAATAATTCGTTTAATAAAAAGCCACTACTTACTAATATTTGAATAGTCAAGCTTTAGCAAAGCCTAGGAGTAATTTGTACATAGCCATATCTTTACTATATTTATTAATTATTAATACCGAGAATCAATCCAATTTATTATAATTATAACAATCAGATACATCTCAAGCCACGTTTTTTTAATTAATAGATTTTATATCCGTGTCTTTAAGCCTTCTCCTATCGCATTATTTAACGATTTTATATCAATATCTTTTTAAGCTTTGCGTATTTACGAACAATCGACCATTGTATAGATAATCTGGTTCAAAAAAAACAAAAAACAAAAGCCTTGATTTCTTATGGGAGAGTAAAATTTGTATTCTCGAATTGGCATTTAATTTTAATTTCCTATTATGTTGATTGACATTAAAAAAAAAATTTCTTTTTCAAGGCTATGCAATCAGGCTCAGTAGATCTTTTGATTGTAGTACACGTCTAAAATTAGATCAATTGCGTCATATGTTGTATATAATTATATAATTCGTTAAAAATTTTCAAAAATAGGACTTCACGTGATTTTAGTTTAAAAATTATTTCTTTCTGCCAAATTTAGTTACGATTTAAGAAAAAAAAAATAATTACGAAAAATAAAACATACAGAGCCTCATTATTACCCCAATACTATTTATTTTTTATTTTTAGAGAATTATTTTTCAATCCAAGCCGCCCTTAATATTTGTGGTATTCAAAATTGGAAATCCAATACTGTTTATTTTTATCTTTGGAAATTATTTTTCAATCCAAGCCGCCCTTAATATTTGTGATATTCAAAATTGGAATCGCGTAAATAATATTGAGCAAGTAATAACCAATACTGTTTATTTTTATCTTTGGAAAATTCCTTTTTCAATCCAAGCCGTTCTTAATATTTGTGATATTCAAATTGGAATCGTGTAAATAATATTATTGAGCAAGCAATAATCAATACTGTTTATTTTTATCTTTGGAAAATTATTTTTAAATCCAAGCCGTCATTAATATTTGTGAAATACAAAATTGGAAATCGCGTAAATGACATTATTGAGCCGAATACCGTTTATTTTTATCTTTGGAAAATTATTTTTCGATCCAAGCCATCCTTAATATTTGTGGAATTCAAAATTGGAAATCGCGCAAATGACATTATTGAGCCAAATACTGTTTATTTTATCTTTGGAAAATTATTTTTCAATCCAAGCCATACTTAATATTTGTGATATTCAAAATTGGGATCGCGTAAATAATATTGAGCAAGCAATAATCAATACTGTTTATTTTTATCTTTGGAAAATTATTTTTAAATCCAAGCCGTACTTAATATTTGTGATATTCAAAATTGGAATCGCGTAAATAATATTGAGCAAGCAATAATCAATACTGTTTATTTTTATCTTTGGAAAATTCTTTTTCAATCCAGGCCGTCCTTAATATTTGTGATATTCAAAATTGGAATCGCGTAAATAATATTATTGAGCAAGCAATAGTCAATAATGATAACGAATAGAATAGACGATAAACATTCAATCAACCAATCACCCAACGATTAAAATTGAATTCGAAAAAATTGCTATTTTAAGAAAAGAAAAAACTTGGAAAGATTTTCAAAATAAAGAATAAAAATTCTAAAGTTCAATATTTTTTTTTTTTATTAAAACAACATGTATTTATTAATGCACGCACGATTTTTTATTATAGTGAAAATCTTTTCTATGTCAACAATTCTAGGAAAAAAAAACACTTTACCATTATAAACAGTTGAGCTTTGGCAATTGATGTTTGACACCGGCACTTTCTAAGGTTTTGGCATCATAAGCCGCGAAGAAAATACATATCGTTATTGATTGAATGTAGTGAGTGAAAATAAAACTAAAGATTATATTTATGGATGATACACGGTTAAAGATAGAGATTAATATTTTAGACATTTTGAGGAATTATTCCTAATCACGAAAAAATCAAATTTGCGCTAAATGTCACAAACATTAGCTCACTACTGTCAAAGCAATCATATGCAATTTTTCACTGCAGTGAGACTTGTATTGTAACGGGAGCTAATTATGACAGGAAGGAAAATCTACATTTGGATAGGCACGCACTTTCGTGAAAGGCAACATACGAAAATAACAAAATATTGGAATTAAAACAATTTGCTAAAAGCTGAAAATTTTGCTCGTCCACCCAGTCCTCCAAAGTAGTATAATAGTGATTTAGTTTGACGAACTTTGCTCCGACTTTATGTCCTTCTCGTACTTTCGACCCGAAATAAATAATTTTAACAGTCTCGGGAATTTGATGCTTCCCTAAGTGGGGAGGAGGCAGAGTCAACTGATGTATTCTTCTGAGTGTACAATGTATGTTATATGAGGCCTGGGCACTAGAGAAAATTTAAAAAAAGGTTTATATTTAAGGATTTACTTGTTACTTTTGAACTTTAGAGAAAATATTACTATGCAAAATGCCTATTAATTATATATAAGGAGTGGAATTTCTTTTTTCACGTTATGGTCTTTTTCTATTGTCCAGGATCGATATAATTATAATTCACTTTCATTCAACGTTGGATCAACCAGCACAGTACTATGCTACTAATAATATGTTATGTTATTATGTTATTATTATTATTATTAGTTGATTTCAATGCTCACCAAGGAGGGTGGGTGGGGGTGTCTTAAGACAAGGTAATAGTAATGACCTCCAATCGCGGCACCTAGAGATTTTAAAGAAATTATATTTGATGCTTTCTCTGCATCAGTATATATATTAATGCTGTAAAAAAAGGGCCTTGGGTATGTTTTTATATTTGTAAACATTCAAATATCCAGTAGTTCGATAAATAAATCATAAAACTGCGGAACATTATTGATTTATCATGTGAACGATGCATATTAACACATCCATTCATTAATATATAGTAATAGAGAGTCTGTTTATTTATTTATAAAATCGGGTGCACATAAAAAATAATGATTGTTTATTAAATTGTTGTGCACCAAACTTTTTATGCAAAACGATAGAAAAAATGTCAAAAAACATGAAATCAAAAAAAAAAAAAGGAGGAAGGTTATGTAGGAAGTCGAGATTTCGAAGGATTGGTTTCTCGGTCAATTCTCTTTGTTAAAAGTAATTTCTTTTAAGTGTTAATAAAGGTCACCATTTTATTGAACTTGGTCATAAAAAGTGACACAGTCTTTAAATTTTTCTTCTAAATGGTGATATACTTTAAGCAATTAAGAATAAATTATCATTTGGATGAATTGTTGCAGTGATTCTTGAAGAATCAGATTTAATTTTTTTTCATTTAAATTTTATTTGTTTTATCACAAATGCATGACATAGATTTCCAATTTCTTGAGCGATTTGGTTAATTATCTGGATGTATTATAATGCAAAACTTACATAATATATTATTAATAAATAGTTTTATTAGAGTTATGTTAAAATATATGATAACGTGGCACACACACTTCACACAAATTAAGTGAAAATTAACTAACGCCTTAGGTAACAAGAAAAGGTTGGCGTTGTTTGAGATAAAAAAAGTTTCATGAAAAAAAACCAAGGTTCATATTCTTCTTCATTATCATCATTCAATGACGTTTTCAAGCCATTAATTGTATTCTTCACTCCGACAGAATGATAATCAACTTCATTTTTACAGCCTTCTACATCTTTATTATCATTGTTATCATCACTTTTATTATTATCACCAGCGGATAGAAGATTTTCTTCAGGGATTTTCTCGGATAGTTCATTTTTATTTTTATTATTTTCTGATGCATCGTCGTCGTCGTCGTTGTTGTTGTTGTTGTTTCCGTTGTTGTCGTAGTCGTTGTTGTTGTCGTTGTTGTTTCTGCTGTTGTCGTCGCCGTTGTTGTTGTCGTTGTCGTTATCGTTGTTGTTGTTGTTGTTTATTATTGGAACTGAATGGATATGATGAGGATCATCAAGAGGCATTATAATAGAATTGCCAAAACTATTAAAAGAGTTATCAATGTTAATTGTATTGTCATTATTGTCATTGTTGTTAATGTCACCAATGCTAGAGTCACTAATGTATTGATTACTATTACTAGTGCTGCCCATAGTTTGTTTCATATGGCGTTCATTTATAAGTTCGTGCAATTCAAGCTTATGATACGTTCCACTGCTATGGCTATGATCTGTCGAAGCACTTTGTAAGTACCCGCTCGGATACTCTTGAATAATATTTGGTACAGTGTAATAATGTTGTCTTAGTTCGTCAAGACATTCAACGACAGATTTGATATCAGGTCGATTATTTGGTTCTGGATCCCAACACCTGGTGTACAAACCAAAGTACACTTCAGGTGTTCCATCGACTTTAGTTTCTCTTAGATTATTCAGATGAATATCCCGGACATCTTTAATTGATTCATACGGCGGTTTACAACTTGAAATTTGCCATAACAAAACTCCTAAACTAAAGATGTCCGATTTCTCATCTTTGGGGTATCTGAGATCTGTATATTTTATGTTCCCGTAAACTTGTTTTCTGGATCCTGATAATCCAAAATCCGAAATTTTAATATTGTTATTAACTACAAGAATATTTCGAGCATGCTAAAAACAACAAGAAAACAAAAATGTTTCAATTAACAATATTTATAGCAGTAGTAGTAACGATGATATTAATAATACTGTTGATGCTACTGTTAAAGAAAGAAATCATTAAAAAGTACCAAATCTCGATGAATTATTCCTTCTTGGTGTAATGTTTGTATACCACTAGCAAGCTGATATGCTAAACGTAGTTTGTTTCCCCAATACAATTTATCAGCGTTTACAGACAAATATTCATGGAGCGTCCCGTGGTTGGCGAATTGCAAAACCAATAAATAATTTCTCGAGTCAGGATCTATTTTTATAATTTAAAAAAATAGAATGCACTGTTAATTATTTTTTTATTGATTGGTTCGTAATTGTAAAGAAAAAATTACCTTGTGTTACTCCGTAAATATTCAAAATACTGTCGTCATAATCAACTTGTTTATGTGAACTAAACTAAAAATAGTCACGTGATAAAATAAAGATTATTTTAGTAAGTGATAACAACATTAAATTACAATCTAAAAAAGTCATACTTCGTAAATAAATCGTCTCGAATCAACGTCATCTTTAATTTCTTTCAATGCTACATCTATATCGCTCTTCCATTTAGCTCTATAAATTTTTCCCGAAGCACCTTCATTGATATAAGCAATATCAGAAAATATACTGTAAGGAAAAATAATTGCCTTTTCTTTATCCAACCATTCCTTTAGATCTTTTGAAGGCTCTTGAGGTATTATGTTGTTGCTGTTTTCAGGTGTTAAATTACCAATAGTTGTATTTTCAATATTGTCGTTATTACTGTGGTTATTATTATCATCAATATTATTATCAATGTTATTATTAATATTATTATTATCAGTCTTATTATCATTAATCTCAGTGCTGTCATTACCATTAATATTATTAATATCAGTCTTATTATCATTAATCTCAGTGCTGTTATTATAATTAATATTATTATTATCAGTCTTATTATCATTAATCTCAGTGCTGTTATTACCATTAATATTATTAATATCAGTCTTATTATCATTAATCTCAGTGCTGTTATTACCATTAATATTATTATTATCAGTCTTAATCTCAGTGCTGTTATTACCATTAATATTATTATAATCAGTCTTAATCTCAGTGCTGTTATTACCATTAATATTATTATTATCAGTCTTATTATCACTAATATCAGTGTTGTTATTATTAATGCCGTTGTTATTAAAATTACCAATGGTGCTATCAAGCGTGTTATTATCAGTGTTTCTATTGATATTGTAAACGTTGTTAATATTATTTGCGGGGTTTTTTCTAGAAAATCTCGTTTTAAAAAAATCCACGAAGGCTTTTTTTACCTTCTTGTTCTTCATTATTATTTCAATGCGATTCACATCAAGAAAGAAAGAAAGAAAGAAAGAATAAAGTTTTTTTCGGGATGTTCTGGATTGTTAATTACTTTTTGGTTCATCCAAAACAATAAAAATGACCTTTTAAAGTATCGATAATATTGTGCATATGACATCATGGCATCATGTCACGTTTTGGCATCAGAATAATAAAAAATTTAATTTGGGAATTTCTTATTTTCTTTATTTTCTATCTCTCTTAAATGATTAACGTCTTTAAGTAATCAGGGTATATTTTTAAAGAAATTTCATTTAGGCAATTTCAAATAATAATAATTTGGAATTTCTTTCTCAATTAAAGATAACTAAAAAAAACCATGTGGTCGGTATTCTCACATGATACATAATTATTTTAGTTAGTTTTAATCCAAACCCATATTCCAATTTAAGCAGCAACATGTTATCGCATTACAGCAATACATTGCCATACGATACAATGATGATAATACAATAATAATACAATAATAATACATGTCAAAATAAATAAATTGAAATAGATCCCTGTGCTTTTAATTGTGATATTTTAACAATGTACTTTCACATTGAGTTAATCACGGCGAATCACATTTTCCCAATTAGTATTGTATTTAGGACAGCTTGGACATTATGCATCTTCTTCGTTTGAAGTTTCTTATAGATCGTCTCGCCAGCCTAGTAATAAATAAAAATGCTGGCGCTTTCAAGACCTTGTTTATAAAAAATATATAAAGTTTGGACTCGTGAGTTAATTTGTAAAGAATAATAATTTCTAGAATATTCATTAATTTCTATAACTAAAACGAAGTTTTTTTAATTCGATATTTTTTTACTAAATCACTTCCAAATTCGCAATTCATTTGATTTCTTCAATGGTCAGGTTGGTCACGATGTATTTGACATGATCAAAATATTTTGAAAAAGAATCCTCTTCTAATTAATTGTGTGACACAGAAAATTGACATTAATATCGAAAAATTTATCAGGAGTTAAATAAAAAATATAGTAATAGTAATTCCTAAAGGTTATATTTATTCTAGGCATATATTACGGATATAATTTATAACAATTAATAAGTGATTTAATTTAAAAGATAATGACATATTTATATTAAATATAAAAAAAACTAAGCTTTAGATAAAAAATTTCTTAAAGTTTTTGCCATGTTTAATACAAATTGTAAATCTGTAGATTCCCAAAAAGTTGTTATTGTACTTATTTAAAAAATCTGCAGATAATTTCCAAATTTGTTAGCCTTGAATTTCATACTATATTAATATAATACACAATCACAATTGAATTTATTTGAATGAATTCATATTATTCTTTTTGTGATATTTTCATCTCAAAAAAAAACATTTTATCTAAAAAAATAACATAATAATAATTTGTGTCTGTGTGACGAAAGAATTTTCTACGTAGGAAACGCAGATTTGAGGTACCACGTATTCACCCGTATATGATTTAAAAAAAACATTAGCGTTGGAATCAAAAATCATATTTGAATTCCCTTTTAATGCAGGCAGTCAAAGCTCAGGAAATGTATGTGCTTTTCTATAAAAGGATAGGGTATTCGAGATATTTAAGAGCGAGACTTCACATGACCATCAGATTATGAATACAATTTTAATCCAAAACAATTTATTATTGTTATTATTATGAATTATGATAGCTTTTATTATAGAAAAAATTTTTAATTGCAATTACAAAATTAAATTGTGTGACTCTAAAAATTTTTTTCTAAATGAAATTCTGAAATTGTCGTTATTGGATCAAAGGTCACACTTTCCGGAAAAAAATAGGCTTTTCAACCGAATTTATGCTCAAAAGAGAATACAATCATTTTTTTGTAAAAATGAATGCAATCTATGATAACAAATAAAACCTGGTTTGAATCCGGTTGATGTCTATTGTAATTACTATAATTTCAACTTGATTGACAGTCGCTTGTAATAATTACATTTCGAGAAATTTGTAAGGTTAAGTTTAACGACAATCCGGGAAGAGAAGGAATATGATAAGGTAAGTAATAATTTGAGGACTTTATGACATCAGTTACGTCACATACGAGTGACTAGAGCTGCGAGCACGACTTTAAAATTTAAAGAAACGGGTTATATTTAATGGTTTCCCTACGTCGTGAAACGGATATATTTTTACATTCTAGCATCATAAAATATTAATCAGTTAATTAGTATGTTATCATAACTCTATTTAATGATCTAGTGGAAATAGATGACACACTTGAAGGATCAAAAGAATTTCGTCCATTTTATTAAGCTTGGTCGAGAATGTTTTTAAATGATCATTAAAAATGAACAATTCTTCGGCAATTGAACGTTTATTGTAAAACTTGAGACTTAATCTTTTGGATATTCTGAGAATTATTATTAATTAATACTGCAATCGTATCTTCACTAGGTGTTTTATAACCACCATCAGTATATTTTTTTTTTTCACCATTTATTCAAGTAATCCTGCGTGTACACCTTTTAAATAAAGGATCCATCGAAAGATATTTATAATATATAAATTTCATAACCTGTTGCTTTTAACTAGATGCTTTTAATCATCTTCTCAATAGTTTCATTACCACTGACTGGTTCGACCTTGAGCTAATGGACTGAATAATTGACACAATTCCCAATTAGTAATATATTCACATTTGAGCTTGCTACCATATTCCATTTTATTGTAAGAAAAAATCCGATTATATAATTAGAGTTCATTGAATGAATGGATAAATATTATATTTTCACAGCCACACTTCTATTTTAGAAATATCATACAGACACTCTTTAAATAATAATAAATTATTAATCGAAAGAGTCAGTGTTTCTCTTAGAATTATACCAGATGGATTGATTACTCGATTAAAATTTAAAGCTTAACAAGCTGCCGCATAAACTAGCATTTGAATGGATTGTTGCGATAATTTTTGAAGAATCAAGTTCAATTTTTCATAACTAATCTGGATTCGTCAAAGTTGCTCTTTAGCATATAGATAAAGAGTAACTCTATTTATTAAATTATCAGCAAATGCACGACATAATGTTGAGCAGTTTAGTTAATTACCTTGGTGCATTATAATCCAAAAACTTTAAATACTTTACATATTTTAGAATTAATTAATAAATTATCAATAAATAGTTTATTAATTTATAGAATATTTACATATAGAAATGAAATGAAAAAAACAGGTTTAAAAAAATAAAGTTATAAACAAATAAATGTTTACTAAAAATAAAAAAAAAAATAAAAACATTAATGATCTGCAATAGTAATACAAAAATTAACTTTAAAGAAAAAAGTTTACATAATAACATTTCCGAATTATTTGATTCTTCGTTAATTGAATTATTCATAATCAATTTATCTTCAATAGAATTATTGGCAGTAGCAAATAAATAATATCCACTTTATCAATTTCTGGTCGTCGGTATCTTTATCATCATTGTCATTTTTATTATCAGCAGATGCAAAATTTTCTTCGGGCTTTTGCCAGATAATTTATTTCAGGACAATTTTAAAAAATTAATTATCATTTCATTATTCAGCATCATTATAATCATTGCCATTGCTGTTATGCCGAAGAAAATCAAAGTTATTATTATTATTATATTTGGGAGGAGACGGGATGAACATTGTAATAGAATGTAAAGATGAATTATAGTAAGCATTGTCATTATTAGAATTGTAAAGCTGACTATAAGAATTAACCGTGACGTCATTACTGCCGTTGTTGTTATAGTCACTAATATATTTATCATTCTTACTAGTGCCACCCATCATTTGTTTCATACGCAGATCTCGTCTATTTATAAGTTCGTGCAAATCAAGATAATTGTTAGGATCTATCGAAGCATTTTGTAAGTGTTCATTCGTAGAATTCTTTTTAGAATTTGGTACAGTGTAATGTTTCCTTAGTTCTTCAAGACATTCAACAACAAATTTGATATCAGGTCGATTATCTGGTTCTGCATCCCAACATCTGGTGTATAAGTCAAAGTATTCCTCAGGTGTTCCATCGACCTTATTTTCTCTTATATTGTACGGATAAAGATGCTCATAATTTTTAATTGATTCATATGGAGGCCTACAACTTGAGATTTGCCATAACAAAACTCCTAAACTAAAGATGTCCGATTTCTCATTTTTGGGGTACCTGATACGTCTGAGATCTGTGTACCTCATGTTCCCGTAAACTTGTTCTCTGGATTTTGATAATCCAAAATCAGAAATTTTAATATTGTCATTAACTATAAGAACATTTCCCGCGTGCTACAAACAAACAGGAAAACAAAAATGTTTTTTAATTAATAATCTTTATAGCAGTAATAGCGATGATATTAATAATGTCGTTAATGCTACTGTTAAAGAAAGAAATCATTAAAAAAGTACCAAGTCTCGATGAATTATTCCTTCATGGTGCAATGTTTGTATACCACTAGCAAGCTGATATGCCAAACGTAGTTTGTTTTCCCAATCCAATTTATCAGCATTCGCAGACAAATATTCTTGGAGCGTCCCGTGGTTTGCATATTGCAAAACCAATAAATAATTGCCCGAGTTGGGATCTATTTTTATAATTTAAAAAATAGAATTCATTGTTAATTATTTTTTTATCAATTGGTTCTTAAATGCAAAGAAAAAATCACCTTTCGTTATCCCGTGAATATTCAAAATATTGTCGTGATAATCAACTCGTTTATGTGATCTAAACTAAAAATAGTCACGTGATAAAATAAAGATTATTTTAGTAAGTGACAATATTAATTGCAAATACAAATATAAAAACGTCATACCTCGTAAACAAATCGTTTCATATCACTGTCATCTTTAATTTCTTTCAATGCTACATATACATTGTTCCATTTAGCTCTATAAATTTGTCCCGAAGCACCTTTATTGATATAAGTAATATCAGAAAATATACTGTAATCTTTAAGATTAATTCTTTTCTGTTTAATTGCTTTGTCCAACCATTTTTTTTCATTTGAGGATCTTTTGTTTTTTTTTTTAAGATTAAAAAGGTTAATAAATGTTTTTGCGTTAAATTTCATTGTTATTTTCAAATTCGAATGAAAGAAGAAAGAAGTTCCAGGTGTTTATATGATATTTTTAATTGTCAATTGTTTTTGATTCACTAAAATGAACTTTTCAAAATAGAGTTTGAATTTATAATCCGATGTTATTTTTTTCTTAATAATGAAGAAAGATGCATTAATATTTATACATGTGATGTCGTTTTTGTAATAATGAAAATAATGAAAATTTTAATTTAGTAATCCTTTTTTTCTAATAGAAGTTTCTATCTTTTATGTATTTCATCTAAATGATAACGTCTATAAATAAATTAATTACAATCACGTGGATAAATTTTTTTTCCTCTGGTTTTAATTTCAAATTCTTAATTACATAAACAATTTGTTTTAAAACAATTAAAGAAACTTCATTATAAATTTCCTTGCTCGAACTTTAATGTCCAGGATAGTAATTGTGAACCCTAAAAAAATTAATCATAGATTTGCTATTGATTGTTTGACAATTTAGGATGCATAATTCCCTCGGTCACATGATATTGAGATGCATACAGTGTATTACATGGCCAAATTAGCCAATAATTTGTTGGCGGAATTTTTATTAAAAAAGGTACGATAGAAACTCACCAATAAAAGTTGCATAATCGTGCTTTCTCAAAAATGTAAAATTTTCTCTGTTCCTATACAAAAGTAAATAGTTCACTCTTGGACGACTGTAGATTCCACATAAACGCATATACAAATTAACAAAAGAAGAAATAATGGATTTTATATTATTATTATTTGAAAAAGATAATGTTGTAATACAAATGCACAAAAAGGATTTCAAGGTTCAAAGTTGTACTACCAAATGAAACTCATCTATATTGGATCTTAATTCCATCATACTTTTCTATAATTTCGTCATTATCAAGAACATAATTAACCTGTTCCTTTACTGCTTCATCTTGAATGCCAAATAAATCCTACTTACCAAATATGGTGGGCGAACATTTTGGGATCATAACTAGTGTATATAGAAAGTCGGCAGCACTGTACTGAATTATATATATAAATTGGACACTGTACTAAAAGTCTAATTTTAATTCAGTATACACTTGTCATTCATTTTTATTATTACTATTATAATAATAATAAGGACATTTGCTGATCATTAAAATTGGCCACAATAGCGAGTTCTAACAACCTTTGTAGTACAAGTAAAAAATGCATTTCATGTTTAAATCTAGTTTCTGAAATTTTACAAAACAATTCAATTCCAAACTGCTCTAAAACATAGTCACCAAAAAATATTGTATTTCATTAAAAAAAAAAATCGATATCTTGTCAGATTTCCTTTGTTTATCCACCCTTTGTGACACTATTTATTAATCTATTCATTCTTTCCAGATTAATATTAAACCATTCCTCTTTTAATAAACCGAATAGTATTCTAAGTCAGGGTTGTGGAATTTCGCTGTACGAAAAGAATCTTTGTACGTACGTACGATGTACTACTGTACTTTGTACAATTGAGTTCGTACAGTTTCGTTGTGGTCGTACACCTGTACGAGGAAGTTTTACATATGTACGTGTGTACGTACGAACATACGATATGAGGAACAATGATTTTCTGCGGTGATAAAACATTACTTTGTGAAGTCCTATAATAATATTAATATTATTGTTATTGTTATTAAGCCGTTAACCCTATTTACTATTACTATAATTAACGGATTATCAGATGTTGTAACCGGGGTCATAATACTACTTCATTATCAGGAAAAGCCTCTTATTTGAGCCCTTTTTATTTTATATTCTGTGTTAAAAAAAGTACATATCCCGTGGTTTCTATTTTTTTTTTTCCTAATATTAATAATGAATAAAAAAATTACCTTTACAACCTTTTTAATTATTATCAATTATTGAATTTTTCAGTAGTTAATTCCATAATTCTTTTATTCTGATGGTCAAAGCTTTGAAAGATTACATCATTGAAACAAAACAAAAAAGTGTTTCTAGTAACAGATTATTAAACTTGGTGAAAACAGCAATGAATTAAAAACGATAGTAGATAAAATCGAACATATAATGCAACATTTTAGTGGTTGTCAAAATTTCATGTTGTATATAGCCAAAAAGAAAAAATTAAAATACTAGCTCTTAGCAATAATAATGATAATAATAACAATACAGTAAAAAGAAAAAGTAAATTTCAAAAAATTTTTTTTTAATTTAATTAACAATTATTGATTTCTTTCTATTAGTATGTAATTCTGCTTCATCCCAATCATCTAATTACGGTTCTTTTAGATAATTTTGTTTCTAAATGAACTTTATAACTTAGATGTCCAAAGTATTGATCATCCAGCAACAAGTTCTGGTGGAAATGGATACTGGGAATTATTAAAAAACGATCCTTTCTAGTTTATCATTACAATTATGAAAAAAAAAATTTTTTGACGAATTAATGTATATTACATTTGATCAACCAATAAAAATTGGCATAAATCACATGATATGTTCGTAGAGTTCTCTCTATAACGGCCCGCCTGATTTGGCAAGAAAAGGCCGTTATAGAGAGTTTGCAGATCATAGTCATGTGATAAATTATAATGTGATACAATATAAAGATTTTATTTTATATTTGCATACTTATTCAATGTTAAAAAAGCTATATAGTGTGGATTGTTGTTGTGAGTTAAAATCCATTTTTTTAATTTTTCTTTTAAGATTTTCCAATAATTTAAAATCGTCCTCATTTAATTCTGATTGTTGGTCAATGTAAATTTCTAATGTTGTTTTTATTGTTGACAAGGCTTCTTTATTTGTAACAGGTGGAAGTTCTTCGATTATTTCTTCCTGGCTTTCATTTTCCTCTGGTGGATTAATTATTGTAACTATGTCATTTAGATTTATTTCATCACTTACATGAGAGTCATCAATTTCAATGTATTCAGACGCGGATATAGGATTAGGGAGTGCAAGAGCTCTCTTACATTCAATGAATTTAAAATTGATGACATATTTTCAATTTCGTTGGAATTAATATCATAATCAGGTAAAATCTCAGTTTTTTTTCAGCCGTTAGCTATAGTTTGACTGGTAACTTTTTTCCAAGCTTTTGCTGTAAATTTAATTGCATGTTTAATTGAAATTTATTCATATTCTTGACCATTTCTCTCTTCTTCATAATCACTATTTTTTTTTGCAAGAAAAGTTTTTTGTAGTTCATCTTGAAGCTGTTAATTATCCCGGCATCACATGGTTGTAAAAATTTGTTGTGTTTGGCGGTAAGAAGTAAATTCTTACATTAGTTTAAATTTGTTGATTCAGAAATAGAATGAGTGGGAGCATTGTGACTGACAATAAGCGCGTTCAAATTATTAATAATTGAGTGTGACACACTGAATTTCTTAATTGATAATGATTACCTCAGATCATGATCGTCGGCCGTTATAGACAACATATAAAACATATGAGAGAATTTTCAGAGGCTGGCCGTTATAGGAAATTTAATTAAGAAAACCGTTATATAGTAAGGTTTTTATATAGTAAAAATTTGGTTTCTGATTTACAGTGCGTTATAGAATGGAGGCCGTTATAGAGGGGACCGTTATAGAGAGAGTGAACTGTAATAATAATGGTAATTATTTTAATGAGTTGATTATGAATTTTTAAATCAATATTTATTTTAACATTAATATTCATATCACTAATTATAGCTTCACATCTAATGCGTTTAACGATATTTTAATGGGATCTATTCATTTATTTTGACATGTACTATTATTATATTTATTTTGACATTATAATATCATCATTATATTGCATGACAACGCGTTACTGATCGCTGGCTACAATATGCAAGACCTGTACCGCATAAATTTGTATAAGGATAATAGAAGTTAGAGTTCAGCTTTGGATTAACACAAGAATCTTCTCTTAGTATTAGTAGTAATGTAGTTGTTGTCATTGTAACAATAGAAATCAATATCATCCATCATCTTATGTTCATTGTATAATCATATTTAATCTTTAATAATAAACTTACACTATTATCCTGTATCCTAAGGCTTTTTTTTAACGATTTAAACTAACATTTCAGAAAGGATCTATATGCCGAACAATATCTACAGAATTTAGTTAAGCAATTTTATAAATTTTTGACTGATCACAGATATTACCTAAGTCAAGGTAAGAAAAATTAGAGAGGGGTTTGTATTGTTTGATTGGATAAATGTTGTTTGCCGAAATTGCTTTTGTATATGGAAAAAAATAATTACGGCAACCATTTCGGCTTTAATGTTTTTTATGAACATAAAATAACCATGCCATTTGATTTATTTTAGAGTACAAACAATTTCGTAACTATTAAAATTAATTACTATTAATATTAAGTAGTTTCGGACAACATCTATGAATATAATTGATTAAAAGTTAACCTAAAAAAAAAAGATTAAAGGACTATAAATAAAAAAATAATTCTTAAATACGCCAATTTTGAAGGTTAATATTGATATAAACTTTGCAACAAAAAACTTTGTGTATAAAGAAAGGTCTTAAAAGAATTTACACAGTTCAGCGACCAAGTGATTGATATCTGTGAATTTTTCGGATTTGTCATGTAAAAAGGAAATTTTTGTCCCCCCCTGGTCAAAACTCAATATCAATGATCTTTTTAAAAACCTTATTTCATCTATATCTCCAAATAATTAAAATAATTTAAATGAAGAGCAAAAAAACAGGAAATTCTAGAAGAAACCAATCAACTAAGAAACAAGGATATTCAACAAAAAGATGAAAGTTGAAACAAGATAAGGAAAATATAAGAAAATAAATAAAACATTTAGAGGATGATTATGAAAAAACTGAAAGAGGTAACAAGCAAACAATCAGCAATTAAAGAATGATGCGATTAACCTGAAAAATCAATTAGCTTTCTTAGAGAAAGAAAAAGATAACCACCCCAAAAGTGAAACTAGCAAAATAGAAATAACTAAAAAAGCCCAAATGTCAGCCAGACTAAATAATAGCTGAAG